GCTCCGGCCCGGCGAGGAGCCGGATCCTGCCCTGAGGATGCTGCGCCGGCGGCCCTGCTCCTTCCCGCGGTCGTGCTGGGGTGGGCAGGATCCGGGGCTGAGCCCCGGGTGGGTTTGGGTTTTGTTTTCCCTCCCTTCCTCCCCCCCATCCCGTGAATCCCTGTTATTTTTCACAAAAGGAAATAAAACTACAGCTGCAACTTGCTGCGTGAGCGTGGTCAGTGAGGGAAGCGCTCGCTCCCTGCCCATCGCCACCTTCTCCCCCCCGCCAGCGCTCCAGCCCCGGGAAGCATCTCGGGATGGGGCTCTGGTCCAATCCCAGAGTGGTGCACGGGGCCAGGCACGGCCCCAGCCTGAGAGCAGCGCCCAGACGCCTCTGTCGATGGGCACAGGGCGATTTCAGGGGTGTGTCCGTCACAAACCTGTGGCTGAGCGAGGAGGCAGAGTACCGTTTGCTGGAGAGATGCGGGCAGCAGGACGCGGGGAGATGGTAAACCAGTCCAGGGGGGGACCGAGAAGCCGAGGAGTGCGAGTTAACTGGTGCGTATCTGACGAGTGGGAACTGCAGGGTGCCCTGCGCCTGCTTCTTCCAAACCAGGGATGAAAAGGCAGATGAGGATGAAAAAGAACGCGCACAAAAGGAACCCAGGGTCACCCAGTGGATTTTCAACCAATCTTAAATTCTCGGTCGGTGGTTCAACACTTGGGCTGATCAAGACTCTTCCATCTCACTGTATTTTTAACAGGGGAAAAAACCTATCTCAAATAGTTTTTCCCTTGAAAGTCATAATAATTTTGTTTTCTGTTGCAGACTTGATTCCGAGCTGCGCCTGCCCAAAGGTGATTGGTGGTGTTTATAGTCCCGTCTCATTCTGCTTTCTGAATTTCTTGACCAATTTCCATTTCCCAGGACCTGATCCGGCTCCTCTTTGCCTGCCCCAGTGCTGCGTTGTGGGGGACCACGGTGTCCTCAGGCCTCCAGCCCGTGGCGGTGGGCAATGTCTACACCACCACCAGCGATGGGCTGAGCCCTTCCTGCGGCTGCCGGCGCTCCGGCTCTCAGTTTGGTAGGCGCTTTTGCTCATTTGGTGGGATAAACGACACCTTCGCCTCCTTTCATGACATTTCTCCTTTCCTTTCCAGTGCCGAGCTGGTGTGAGCAGCCACTGAGGGCGTATTTTAATCAAGCTGGAGCAGCAGCAGATGTCCATCTGGAGGTAGAGGGGAAAAGGGACCATCTTGGTGTCTTGTCCTTAAGGAAGAAGGCGTCCGTGTTTAGCAGATGTTGTGCGAGACGAGTGCGTGCCACGGGATGACACCAGCATCTGTGAATCCCAGCGGATGACACCTGGAATGGCACCTGGAATGGAGGATTCCTATTTCCATATTGCAGCCGGGCAGAACTACCGAAAAACGTACAGCTGAGCGATGCCCCCAGCTACGGGTGCAGACAAGAGCACAGCCTCGAGCCCTTGCATGAGCACCAGGGACACCTTCGGGGCAAACACTGGCTCCCGTGACCTTGTGAAAGCTCCAGATGACTTCTGCAGACAGTGATGGTACCTCCAGCAGGAGCTTAGCTTCTCCCGTCCAGCTGAGGATCATCTTCTGAATTGGAAGCGACAGCTTAAATTCACAGCTCAGAGCATCCCAGCTGGGTGGTGGCTCCCGAAATCATTGCTCCAAGTGATCCTGGCTAGTTGAGAGCCTCGAGCAGCAAGAGGAGCCTGCAGCAGACCCAGCTCCTGCATACCAGCTTCTTGGTGGCCACCACCACGAGAAAGTGCCTGGAGCATCTTTATTTACTGTCGCACCCAAGACAGCCCTGAACTCGGTAGGCGTTTCCGTTCCACATCACAAAATCGTTTAAAGTCCTTGCTTTCAAAGAACAAAATGGTGTAAATGCTGGGCTAGGGCACGGTTCCTCCACAACGGCACCCAAGAGGACCAGCCGCGACGCTTTAATTAATGGCATCCTGATAGCGTGTCGCCCGGTTGTGCGAGATCCAGGACTGAGAGGATTAGAGTGTCACCAAAAACGTGCGCGTGGCCGTCGTTTGAAAAGAGGCAAAACGCAGCTTTTTTGTTGTTGTTGTTTTCAGAAAGACTGTTCCAAGAAACTGGTTTTCTGCAAGGAACGCCTGGATCGCACGCAGCCTCGCTCTCCCCAACACCGGGAGCAGGCTGCAGACAAACAACTTCTTGAATTAGATTTCATGGGAAATTAAAGGCATGAAGAGACCTGTCACAAGAATTAAAGTCTGAACCGGAGCCAGACAGCTTCAAACAGATGTTGGACTTCAGGAGGAGAATATTTCTTTGTTTTACTCGGCATTTTCCCATACAGAAAAGGAACATCTGTTCCGATGCTTTCGCAGTGCTCCTAAACTGAGATAGCTTCGGATTATCCCCTGCTAGAAGAGAAGCAACTGGCCACCAAAGCCCTCTTGGCTTCGCTCCTCCCGGAGAAGAGGGCAACACCGGTTACATGTTCCTCCGGTCTCAAACGACCGCGTTGAGGCTGTCTTAGCTGAACCAGGCTGATCGCGGTATCTATGTATCCTCCACAGCAGCCATACGGCCGGATGAAAATGTTGCGTGCAGACCTGGTTATCAACAGAAAACTGATCCCTCAGCCGCGTTTTCTTTGTCCTCCCGTGAGGTGCTTCAATAAGAGGAAAATTCTGGGGTTTGTCTTTGTTGCAGAAAAACCTGAATATCCAGTGTGGTTCAGTTTGGGCTGTTGCAGCAAGGAGGTCTGGTAGCCCCTCTCCTCTTTTATTTTTTTTTTCTGGACAAGTTTTAGACTGCATTTCTCACGGTGCTTAACTTCTCCTCAGATCCGTGAGCTGCAGTTGAGCCAGGCAGCACAGGGGGCAGAGGGGAGCCGTGCCTGGAGGTCCTGGGCATCTCGGTACCAGTTATTTCCCAGTTACAAGAATTCACTTTCCAAACTTGCAACAAAAAAAGCCCCAATTTTGCGGCCAAAGATTCTGGATTTTTCCATCGCCCCCCTGAGAAAATGAGGCGTCTGCCACCGCACACTCCCTGGTCCTGCTTTGTAGACGACTTTTGTTTCATAGGGTGCACCCCAACCGTGTCCAACGAAGGGGAAAAGCTCTGGGAGGGAATGACGTGGTGTCCCACAGAGAGTCGGCAGTAGAAGGAAGGGACAGCACGGTGTGAAGAGCAGGGAGAGGTGGGACAGCCAGATTCTGTCTTAGCCGAGAGGCACGAAACAGCGAGGATGGGAGACATCATGCCAACACCAGGGTCCCATTGCTCTCCCAGCTGCGGCAGATGTTGCCATTTGCATGCACAGGTCAAGATGGTATGACCACTGCGTGGGGTGAATCCACGGCTGTGCAGAGGTGGGGTGAGGTGGACCTGCTTGTTTGGGGTTTGCCATCACCTCCAGCAGTGGAGGTCCACGTAGAAAGCGCCGAGAAGCAGCAGCAGGAGGTACAGCCGGGCGGGAGCGCTGGGAGCAGCTGAGGTGAACGATGAAGCTGGAATTGGGAACAGGCCGTCACTGCGTCCTTGGGAAATGCACGTTCTTCATTGTTGCCACCCATTCCCAGAGCGAAACGAAGTTCAAGAAGTGCCTGATGTCTCCTGGCGGGGAATCCTCCAGGTGAGCGGTGACGGCAGAGCCGTGCCGGGGGTGGCCGGGGAGCTGGGCTGCCATCGCGGCAGATGGGCAGCGCTGGGAACGGCACAGGGGAGAGTGGAGGATGCGCCCGTGAGCCCATCCTGGTCTCAAAACATGGTGTACAGTAAGAAAAGGTTTAAAACCTCGATTAAAAGGTGCCATTTTTGTGACGAGCACAGCCCGAAACTCGCTGCAGCTATTGTGGGGGGTTTTATTGCTGGGAGCTGGCAAACGTCTCGTTAAGAGCTTGTTGAGAGCAAACTTCTGGGAGAGCTTGCTCTGGTGCGCGGGTAGCATCTGGGAGCCAGCTTGGTGCTTTCCCCACGTTTTTTTGGAAGCGGGGTTACTTCTGTCACCTCCGTCCGCTTGCTTAATTGCAGCCATCTTGATCAAACGGCCTCCAGCCCTCCTCTCCCCCCGCAGCTCTGGCTATTCACTAATTGAAATGCCTAATGAGGTCCCAGGGGTCTCCTGCAGAGATGGAGCTAATTAGGGGCTCCGCCACGAACCTGGCAAGCAGCAGCAAATGAAACGAAGGTTTCCTCGAACAGAGTTGGGTTTTTTTTTTGTGAGGGGCCGGGGGGAGGGCGCACCAGATGTCCTGTTTCCCCGCTCCGCACCGGGGTAAGGCTGGCGCTCCGCGGACTCCTGGCTCCTGCCAAAGCAGCTGGTGCAGAGGCAGTGGCTACACTTAATACATTTTAATTAGCATCATTAAATTCTTCCATTTGCTAATTGTTTCTCCTTTTGATCCTTTATCCTGACCAGATTAGCCCTCGAGGGAAAGGGACGGGATGGGGGATGCAGACGCTTCTGACAAGGTAAGGACTTTATTATCTCCAAGCGCAAAGTTGTCACCAGACCTTGGGAGACCACGCTAAAATGCCCCATTTGGTGATAAATTAATGGCTAGATTTGTGTGTCCGGCCTGTTCTTGGCCATTCCCGGAAAAAGTCATCCCCCAAAAGTGCCATCCCACAAGAATTTATGAGCAGAGAGAGGACCAGATGAGAAAACCTCCCTTAAGTTTGAATGCAAAGGAGTTCTTCTTCACGTGGTAAAGGACAAGCAGCTGCCATCGCTTTGGGAAGCAGCTGGGTGGGACCGAAAGAGAATTTCCTCCTCCTGCTTTGCCGCGGATGGTGATAATAAGCCTCCATCCTCCTCCTTGTCCTCCTACCAGTCGACAGTTGCGTAATTGCGCTGAAGCCAGAAGCAACTTCCTTGTCGTCCACGCTGATGGCAGCGGCCCGTTCCCGGGGCTGCCCACGGAAGGGTGCAGCCGCACGGAGGTCAGGTGAGGTCACGGGTCCTGTTTATCGCCTTTTAGCCAAGAAAACTGTTGAAGGAAAACGAGCCTGGTGTGAGCCACCAGGCGCTGAGCTGATGTCAGCCTCGTACTTGGTATTTTGGGGCAGAATTCTGTTCCCAGATGCATTGTTTTAAATCCAGAGGAACTTGGCCTCCCTTCAGCTACTCTTGACTTCCAGGGGTGTGAGTGAAAGCCGAACTGGCTGGGCATGAGAAATAGCCTCGCTTGTCTGTTTTAAATCTCAACAAAAGCATTAGGCCAACTGTTCTTCTGTCTCCTTAGAAAGGCAGGCATGGGCAGAGCCGAGCTGCTAGGATTATTGGAATGTATTGAATTGAATAGAGGATTGGGGAAAAAAAAAGAGAAGAAAAATCAACCGCATAATCCATCATGCTCTGAGGCCAAGTCAGGACTATTCCCCAAAGTATTATCACTGTGCGGGACTCATTTGCTTTGGATGTTGAACGACGCTGTGATATTTTTTCTGTGTTTTAGCGTTAAATGGACTGACTGGGGCAGCTAACGAATTCGTGATGTTACTGCGATTCCTTCCGGCGACACGTTGAGACTTCACTGCTTGTTGTTCAGCACCGAAGGATGCCGCATTACGGATGAGACAGCTCTGGTGGCACCAAGGAATAGTGGGAAGCACACGTGGGTAAGCACCAAGGAAGTTCATCCTGGGCGGAGAAGAAGGCAAATCCATTGATCCAAAAGGAAAGAAGTGAGATGACGGGGAGGACAGATCGGGATTGTGACATCGGGATTGTGACTAACAAGGCAAATTACAAAGACTCGATGGCATAATTCATGCACCCGGAAAACTGCTATCAAAGGTCTAGCTGGTTTGGAAAGGACAGGCAGGGAATAAGCTGGAGATGAAAGTTTTGAAGAATGATGTACCCCCATGCCGACATCCCTGACCAGAGGGAGACAGACCAGTGCAGCGTCACCGGGGAGCAGCAACAAACATGGGGAAGACCCAGAAAGAACGCCTGGAGCTCTTTATTTTACCAGCATCCCCCAAAAGCCATGGCTCAGCAGACATCTGCTGGAAAAGGAATGCAGGAGGAGGCAAACCCTCTGAGAAAGGCTCGGACAGTGGGTGGGGACAACTTTTGGACACAGCAGGTGAGGCACAGGCTGGAAGACAAGCAGAGATGACCTCTATCACAGCTCGAGGACACCCAGCACCGCAGCCACCTTGACTCACTATTGTAGGGTCGCAGGTCATGGACCTGAGGACATCAAATCTGTCCGAGGAGCTCAGCTATGGGCTCCAGACCCCCATAGCTGCCCAGATCGTGGTAGAAGAGTGACAGGCAGACTTAAGGCTCTTTCTACATTTTCATCTGATTGGCAGCAAGTACAGGTCATCTTCTACTCCAGGCGGCTGAGTGGGAGGTTGGAGAGGGGTAGGATTATCTGTAAGACATAAGGAAATGCTTATGTTTGTTCTGCTGACCAAGCTGGAGGATCATCCCCAGTTATGGGCAGTGTCCTTCAAGGTGTGGAATGCCTGGAGAAAGCCCAGAAGAGAGCAAGAACGCAACCTACAGCAACAGATGGACATTCTGTCTGGAGAGGGACAACACAGTGGTCTTTGGGAGACACATTACCTACAGAGGAAAGGATTAAATAGTCGTCGTCGCCCACGGAGAGCCAAAAGCTGATTTTCTGCCACTGGTGGGAAGAGCTGGAGCCGTGCAGGACGTGTCCAGCCTGGCCAAAAACACAAATAAAAGGTTATCAGAGGCATTGGACTCTCCGCGCTCCCCCGACGCGGCCATCGTCCTCAGGAGTGCTTTGGGGGAAGCTGTCCTAATCCAAAAGGAGGGAGATTAGCCCCGATTTCTCGCCCGGTCGCCCCCTCGCCATGGCCTGCTTCCTCCCCTGCCAGACGGAGGTGGCCACAGGGCCGTGCCAAGGGGCCCAATCCCGGGGGGGGGGGGGGGTGTCTGGCCCCTCCGAGCGCGTCTGCACGGCCCCGCTGGTTTCGCCAGGCCTGGGAACGGCCCCCCAAAACCGGCAGGTTTTGCCTCAACCTGCCGCTTTTCACCCCAAAGCCGGAGGGAGCGGTTGGGCCGAGGCAGCCCCCGGTGAGGCCTTGCGGCGGGGGCGGGGCCTGCCACGCGCCCTGGGCGGTGAAGCCCCGCCTTCAATTTGCATAAGCCCCTCCCAGTTCGGTGGAGCAACCGCCCATCCTCGCCTAAGCCCCGCCCTGATTCCCACGAGCCCAACCTCTTATCAAGCCCCACCCCCGGCTCGCCCCTAAGCACCGCCCACTTCCCCTTAAACCCCGCCCCAAGACCCTCAGCCCCGCCCCTGCCCCTGTCTGTCACACGCCCGCCCCCGCGCGGCCCTCCCCGCCCGCCGCCTCCCCGCTCTCGCGATATCTCTAGCCGGAAGTAGCGCCTCCTCGAACCGGAAGTGGAAGCGGGCGGGCCGGTGGGTGGCGGTGCGGGCAGTTCCTCTCGCGTCGCCATGCCGCTGCGGCTGCTCCTGCTGCTCTTAGCTCTCTGCGCCGCCGCCCGGGTCAAGGGGGAGAAGCCGGCGGAGGGCGGCTGGGGCGGGGGAAGGCAGTGAGAGGGGGCTGCGACCCGGGGGGGGACCCGGCGCGGGGAGGGGGACCGGCAGGAGGGCCACGGCCGGCGGGGCTGGAGTCGGGGCGCTGAGGGGGGGGGGTTGGGCTGCGGGCTCGGCAGTGCCGGGGACGGGGGGCAGGCGAAGCCAGGGCAGGGGCTGATACGGGCGCTTGGGGTGCTGGGGCTCTTCTGCCGTTGTCCCCCTCCTGCGGATGGGGGGAGGCCTGCGGGGGGGCCGGGGGAGCTCCCTAGGGACACTGTCCCGCCGAGTTTGTCACGCTTTTGGTTTCCCCCTGTCACCTCCCTTGCAGGGGAGTTTCCTTCCCCTTTCGGCAGCGGTGGGGGAGCTGTCTCGGACAGCCAGGTGCGCTGCAGACACCAAGCGTGGGGGCAGGCGGTGACCGTGACCTCTGTGTTTGCTCACAGGGGACACGCAGAGGCCGGAGGACAGTAACTCTGCCAGAACTTCAACAGGCACTGAGGGATCCCACCAATCTGAAGCACACAATGGCCAGGAAACCCAAGGGGGTGGGCACCTGGATACGTCCAAAGAGGGAGAACAGCAGCACTCTCAATCTAATACACCCAATGAGCATGAGTCCAAAACAAGCACAAGCAATGGGGAGATGACAGAGAAGGGCCAGAAAGGTGAAACTGGTCATGGCAGCAACGGTGAGAACCAGACCGGTGGCCAGGGTGGCAGTGACCAAGACAACAGTGGGACTGGCAATGTCCATGGCAGCAGCACTGATAGCCAAGGTGGCAGCAGCCCCAGTGCCCAGGGCGGCGGGAACACCGGTACCCAGGTCAGCGGAAATCCCAGTACCCAGGTCAGCAACGGCCCCAGTAGCCAGAGCAGCGGGAGCTCAGGTAGCCAGGTCAGTGGGAAGCCTGGTAACCAGGGCAATGGTGACCAGAGCCAGAGCAACAACCGGGATAGCAGCAACAAGAACGGTGACAACCAGGACAGCAGCAACAGGGTCCAGGATCATAACAGAGACCAGGGCAACAACCAGGGCAACACCACCAACAACAAGGACCAGGATACCAACCAGAACACCGAGAACAATGACCAGGGCTCCGACCAGAACACCAGGAACAATGACCAGGGCACCGACAAGAACAGGGGGAACAATGACCAGAGCACCAACCAGAACACCAGGAACAATGACCAGGGCACCAACCAGAACACTGGGAGCAATGACCAGGGCACTGACAAGAACAGCGGGAACAGTGACCAGGGCACCAACCAGAACAGCGGGAACAGTGACCAGGGCACCAACCAGAACACCGGGAACAATGACCAGGGCACCAACCAGAACACCGGGAACAATGACCAGGGCACCAACCAGAACACCGGGAACAGTGACCAGAGCACCAACCAGAACACTGGGAGCAATGACCAGGGCACCAACCAGAACACCGGGAACAATGACCAGGACACCAACCAGAACACCGGGAACAATGACCAGGGCACCAACCAGAACACCGGGAACAATGACCAGGGCACCAACCAGAACACCGGGAACAGTGACCAGAGCACCAACCAGAACACTGGGAGCAATGACCAGGGCAGCAGCAACGCAGGCCAGAATGGCAAAGGCGAGAACCAGGCCAACAACCAGGGTAATCAAATGGACTCATCAAGAGATAAAAATGCATCACCACAATCAGCTTCCTCTGCTGCTGAGGGCGACAGCTTTTTAGAAGACGAAGAAAGCCCTGTAGAGGAAGAGGATGAGGTTAAAGAAGGCAGCGATATCTCTTCCTTTAATAATATGAGAGAGAAGAGTGTTCCTTCTCTCCCCAGGGACCAGTCGGAGAGCAGCCACTTCTTTGCCTATCTGGTCACCACGGCTATTATCGTTGCTGCCTTATACGTTGCGTATCACAACAAACGCAAGGTGAGTGGCCGTGCTCCTTCCCCAACCTCTCCACATCTCCCCTGTGGTTTAGGAACTTCCTTTCCTCTTGCTGGTCGCTGCTGCAGAGCGGGACATGCTCAGTTGAAGACCTTTCCCCTCGCCCTGACTTTTGTTTCTCACCAGTACCTCCCGCTTGCTGCACGGCCTCAATTTGGTTAATATAAATATTAATTTCTGCCTCAGTCCCAACAGCTTTGGGAGGAGCAGGGGGGGCGTTGTAACTAGGAATGGGGTCAGATCTCTGTGGAAATTGGGTGGCCTGGGCTCTGGTGGTTGTTTTCAGCTGAGAGAAGTGAAAAGGAAAAGATCTATGAAGTTACCCTGCGTTTTCTTGCTGATAATGAGTTTTCTGACATGGGTTGCAGAAGACTTGTCCTTAAATAGTCTTGCGTGGGGGGATGCGGCTCAAATGACCTGTAAAGCTATTTTTGAGGTAGGAGAAAGACAACAAATTAGGCAAACCTCATTAGCGCCTGCTTTCAATCTTAGCTGGGTTTATATATTGGCATTTATTTGTTTTGAGTGCTTTTTCGAATGAAATACGGTCACTAGGAGGAGGGAGGTGAAGCTGGTCTTTGACCCATTAGAAAGTGTCTGCGTTTGGAGTGAGAAAAAGCTTATTTGGTCGTTGCCGTCCCACTTACCTTATCCCTGTTTCTCTCTCCAAAGATCATTGCTTTTGCTCTGGAAGGAAAAAGATCGAAAAGTGGTCGACGACCCAAATCTGGCGATTATCAGAGACTGGATCAAAAGGTAAGATCTACCCGAAACAGGAGCCGGGCAGGCTGGGAGAAGGGCCTGTGGCTACCCTAAATGGGATATATTGGCTTTTGACATCTAGGAATGATCACAAAGCCCCTGCTTGGTTGGTACTGGGAAGCAGATTTTTTAGAAAAAAAACCCCACTCTTGTTCTAGAAACAATTTTGCCTGAAAATGGAAGTGATAATGCTGAGAAATGGGGGCACAGAGCGCTAACAGAGCAGAAGTTTGTGAGTCTCGAGCTCAGGTGTGCTGAAGAATAGTTTGTCACTGATTCAAATGACTTTTTCAATAGAGTTTTTAGCGGGAGAAGTGCTGGATTCGAGGATAATTCCATTCCTCCTTCCCCTTGAAATGTTTTTTCTCCTGTTGTCCTTGGAGTCAGAAGTGTCTGTAGTTGTTTTCTAGAAAGCAAATTTTTAAAAGTTGAAAAAGTGAAGCTGAAATTTAGTCTTCCAGAAGGCTGTCAGCATTTGGGGGATGGCCAGGGTGGCCGTTTTCAAATGCCTTTAGGGATTTTGAGTATAAAACTCAAGGCAGAGCTGTCCTCGGTGTGTTGTCGGCTTTGCAGCGGTGCAGTGCGCCCTCGGGAGTGGAAACTCGGCTTTCTCCCTTCCCCAGTTGCGGCCGTGCCTGGCTGGGGAAGCTGTCTGCGTGCCACCGAGATGATTTGCCTGCCTGAGCCCTCTCTGTTTAGTCTCGCCAATATTTTGGGAATTTGTTTCCCTTGCCAGGAATTCCCTCACTTGTCCCCGAGGCACAGGGGGTGGTGAGAAAGAGCGTGGTTTTTATTTGAAGGCTCATTGGAGATTCTCAGCCCGCTGAGTAGAAAAGCAATGCTGAGCTTTCAAATCGTTTAAACCTTTCTTTTTGCCTTGTCAGATCTAGATTGCTCTTGGATATTCAGTGGAATAATGACGGCTGGTGATGAGAACACGGGGACACCCACCGACTGCCCTGCTGTAGCGCTGCGGGTTGCGGCTGTGCTGCCGCGTTCAGCTTTCAGACAACAGGAAGAAGGGGAAATGCTTTTCGTTTTGCACCTGCACCTTGGTAACATTAAACCTCTCACTTCCTCGAAATGCCTTTCTCCTTTCCAAGCTGCCTGAAGATGAACTCATTTTTCCCCTGGGCCATCTGCCCTCTAGCCCGTGACCCAGGAAAAGCCAGTCCCCAGCACTTGGCAGAACTTTTGTGTCCAAATGAAATGGAATTTGCCATCTACTGTACTGACGTCTCCTCTTGGGGGGGGAGGGAAACCCCCAAAACCCCAATAAATCCGCCTGCGAAATGAGCCATCTGACTCTTCCCCTTCCAGAGTGATAGAGCTGCCTTTGTAACCAGCACAGTCTTGCTCGAAACACAGACATTCTCCTCTTCTGCCTGTTGTATTTGGATGCTAAAATTTGAAGCGTGATTGATTGCACTAGTGATCTGCCAAGGACTCTGATTTGATTTGATGAGTGGATTATTTTTCTCTCTCTGTGATGAAGACAACGTTAGGGTTTATCATCTAGATTCTTCTCTTTCATGCACGTCTTTGGAAACACCGGAGCAGATTTTGGCCCTTGGGTTGGAGCTTAAACTCCCTCCCCTGCATCTTCTGCTCCACGCGGGTCTTTTCCGTCGCAATCCCCAGAGTTCCGATGTTTTGCACTAAAGGTGACGGTTGTGGTTTGACGCTGTGAAGGAGGGCAGCTTAGGCTTAGAAAGCTTCATGCCACATTGCCGACGTGTAGTCGTAGTGGGTTTTGCCTTGCAAGATTGCTTCCCTACCCTTGTAAAACGTAGTTATGTAAAATGTATGGTGATCCCGAAGCGTTTAGGATGAAGGAAACTTGCGGTCTCTTCTTCCAAAGTGTAGTATTGTGGATCTGGTGTATCCAGCTCCGCTCAATGAGCCTCCATTCCTTATAAAGCTCGCCGGGACCGAGCACTCGAGGCGAGGGGGCTGCTCGTCCCCTGGCTTGCACAAGCCTTGGCGACGCCTCTTGCCTTGGGAAACCGTTGTAGCCGGCGGGGCGGGCGCCGTCTCTTCTCCCCATGAGTCACCACAGGGCATCTTCTCCCCGAGGTCACCTCCTGAGCAGGCGGCCGACGTGTGAAAGGGCTCATCCTGCGGTCTGCACAACCTCTTCCTGCTCTTCCACGGCTCCACCGGCTTTGGGGGAGTTTTGTGTGGTTGAATGTAGAAGTGACCGCTGCTTGTCACTGAGCTGGTCGCTTCGGTGTTACTGTGGAGCACTTCAACTCGAGCCTGGGCTGTGCTGCTTGTGTTTGAGGCTGCAAAACACGTTGAGTCAGGAGTTATAGCTGTGAGGTTGTTTTTATTTCTGTAGTTCTACTCCGAAGATGTTTGTTTGAGACGGGCCGTTTCTGACGAGGGCGTGAAGCGCCAGCCCAGCTCGTGCTTTTATTTTTTTCCAATATGGGCAGAAAAAAAATCGCTCTGAGGCATGTAGAGCTCTTCACACGGGGATCCGTCTCCACCCGCAGCTTGTGCCAGCCGCGCCTGAGTCACCCTCTCCGGCCGCTTGCCGACTGACTGCACAGGAAGAATCCCGGCGGGGTGAACTTCCCTCCAGCTGGCTGCGAAAGCCACTTGTGGGATGAGGCCGGCCCTTTTCCGGCCTCCCCGAGGTTGTGAACAATTGGTAATCTGCCCTGCGGTTGCTAAAGATAGTCACATTTGACAAGGACAAAGATGTTTCCTTGTCTGGACATGAGAGCTACAGCTGTATTATTATTTTTTTCCCCTATTTTTCCCCACGTAAGAGGGGAGAAGAGGCTTGACCCCTCTCCTAAAAAAAAAAAAAAAAAAAATTCATTTTTGAGTTGGGTTTGGTTTTTTTTTTTTGCATTTTGCTGGCTGTTCACAAGCACAAAGAGCAGGAGAAAGTCCCGCTCAGCTTTAAATAGCTTTCAAGGTTTCCGTAGTAAACTTTTCTCATGCTGAAAGTACTTGCAGAAGCTGTTTTGGAGAAAGAGAGCGTGAGGTGGAGGGAAGAGAAAGGCAAACAAGTCTGGGAACAGACCCCTTTGAGAGGGGAAAAATGTGCCTTCTGCAAAGGGTGGGAACTCCTGCAACAAGACTCCAGTGTTTCGGAGATGCCGTAGGATAAGTCAGGCCGGCTGTTGTGCGGCTGATTTATGGGCAGGACGCGGGGTGGGAGGTGGTGGCTTTTGTCTAATGAGAACAGAGGGGGGGAGGGAAAAAAAACCCGCATTCCACCATGTGAAATACCGTGTGCTCCTGAGCTGCTCGCTCCTGATTTTTTTAGAGTGTGTGCGCTGTTTTCCTGCTTTGTCGTATTTTTTTTTTTTTTAAATTGAAAACTAATTTACGATAAGTTTTTTTTGCCCCACCATCTGTTTGCTTTTCTAACCCACGAGTTTTTGTTTTTCAAATGCCTTCCGGTCCTCTCGCCTGTTGTATTGGAAATCCCACCTTGTTACCCCCAGTTAGCAATTAACAGCAAGCTGAAGCACGGGAGTTCTTTGGAGAGCAGGACCATTGTACCTCAATTCCTCGACCATCGGGTTGGACCGAGTGTGAGCTCGTTAGTCAGGTTAACGAGGACGTATGGCACGTCCTGGTGGGAGCTGTCGGTTTGCTCGGTGCCCGGCGGGGCTCAGGTGAAACAGAAATGCCCATTTCCCGGGAAGTGCAGGGTTTGGGGAGAGGCAGAGCTCAATCAGGGGGGGATTCCCCCCAAATCTGCCACCCCGCAGTTCCCGAGAGCGGCGTGTTTCTGAATACAGTCGCTGTGATTGTCCGAGCTGCGTGAGACCCCTGGGAATGACTCACCATTTGTTGATTTTTATGGTATTGAAATTTATGCAACGTGTTTCAGACTGGTCAAGGTGCGCGTAACCGTTTGCCTTTGGACACGACATGTTTTTGAATGGATGATATCTGTCGGTACGTAGTGGGTTTTTTGCCCAACGTTACTACTTTTAGGCCAGCTGCCTTGCCGGTTTGAATCAGCAAAGGGTTTGTTTTCTGCTGCAATGAAATGCAAAATGCTTTGAAGGATCTGAATTTTTCTATTTCTTTGTATTTTTTTTTCCCTCTGCGGTGAAGTCAATAAATGGATTTAAGAACAATAAATAAGGCGCTTTCACTTCTTTTTTTTTTTTTTTTTTGTGCGTCTTCTTTTCACGGTCTCCTTTGAAACCTGGCAACAGCGGTGCGGGTTAGTTCCTCTTTACGCGAGAGAAAAATAACGGTTTTACCAAAACCAAGAGCCTGAGCCCAGCGGTTTGCGTTCCGAGCTTTGTGTGCTCGATTTGCACCTGCAAACTCCTTCCTCTCCTGACCGACGAACCCTGCAGCCGGATGGAGCCGAGACGGGTTTCAGCCTGGAGCGGATTTGAAAGGTTTTCAGTCTGCTTCGCCATCACCCTGTGCTCGCAACGCCGTTCCTCTTCACCGGCCCCTCGTGGACTCGGTAATGAGCGGGGTTATTTAGGTCCTGACCTCAGGATAAGAGTTTAAACTGCTCTTAAGAGAGCTCAGCTGTGCATCTGTGCTGCTGTATTTCTGTTTCCACCCACAGGGAGGCTCTGAGGAGGACGCAGATCCCAGCAGCTGAGATGGGGAAGACTGGGAGAGACTGGAAAAGCGAGAGCTTGGTGATGTCCCCCCACGGCGAGAGCAGCTTGCGTGGGACGCTGCTGCCCCACCAGCCCCGGGAAGGGGAAGCGAAGGTGCCGCGATGGTTGAGGGCGCTTCTGGGTAGCATCTGCTGCTGCTTCCTGCAGTAAATGGAGGAAACTTTCTCCTTTCCCCCACTTTTTCCCTAAAAGGAGAAAAATCCGCCCTCTGACGCTCTCCTCCAGCTTGGCTGGACACCAGCTGCCTGGCCGTGAGCGCGGAGGACGGGCAAGGACAAAGGCAGGGCCACTTGTTTTCCTCTTTGATGGGGTTGCTGTGAGCTCGGGGGAGGAAAAAAAAAAGGTGGAAATGGGGGATCAAACTGAAAATTCTCTGTTCCTCTGCACATGGGGTCCAAGTTTTCCTACGAGGAGATCAGAGCACCACTCTGCTGCCTGTCTTTAGGGCGATTTTTGGAAGAAACAAGGATTACTGAATTGTGCTCCAGGAGCTTTTTAAACTTCTTGCCCGCTTCTGCCCGGGTTTGAGAGTGCTGTAAAGGTCTCAAAACTATCTTATTCCTACAGGTAGAGCGAATGTGGTGGGGAGGGCGCAACCCTGCGGGTCCCTCAAGGGAGAGAGGCAGCGGCGTAAGCATTCCATCCCGCGTGCCAGGACGCGGTGAGTGCCGAGCGCGGGTTGTCTTGGGGCAGCTGCACCCCACGCCTCCCCGTGAGTCAAAGTCCAGGAGCGGTGGTGTGGAAGGAAAAAAAATAAAAGCTAAATGAAACCAAAATTATTTGCCGGCAGGGTTGGGCTCTGCTTATCGGAGCTGAATTGCTCAGGGCAACACTGAGAAATAGCGATAGGGCCAGAGTTTACGCGAGAGGCGCTTAGGGTGGAGGCGGCGCAGGTTCGATGCGCGAGCACAGGGTGAAACTCTGCCTGCAGCGCCCTCGGAGGTCGTGGCCCCGTCACCCTCCTCCCACTCTGGGGACGGGTCCCCTGTCTCGCCGACCAGCGACATCCCCGTGTTGGCACAGGAGCCGTTCAGGCTTTTTTATTGATGTGGCTTTTGTGTTTGTTCTTGATACCAAAGAGACCACGGGGAGGAGAGGAGCTTGAGCAGACACATCAGGTCCGCGAGGTGTCCCAGCCCCTCCCCTCGCATCCCGCCGCAGCTTTTCCCCTCTCTCCCTTTGCTCACTGAAGAAGGAAGCTCGCAAAGACCCCGTTATCCGTTGTGAATTCTAAGAACTAACTTCACCAAGTGCTCCCAGATCCACTCCCTCACTTCTGCTGATCCACTGCAGAAGTGGATTCTGAAGATTCACTTCTCACTTCCACTCTTCTAAGGTCCCAACTTAACCCACCAACCTGCAAACCCTGCTATATTTTTTTTTTAATATTATTTTTTTAAAGCCTTGAATCCCTGAGCAGCCTCCTGAGCAAACAGCTCGAACACGAGGTGATCGTTACAGCCGTGTTGTCGTTAAGGGTAGGGCACCGGCCAGGTAAACACACCACCTTTGCCTCTGTAAGGCAAAAGTCCGCAACCTGTGCAGGTTTATTTAGATTTAAAATAAAAAAAAAAACCAAACCCAACAACAAAATGGGTGAGATTGTATTTGTAAGGTCGGAGCTCTTCCGTGGAAGAAAATCAGGGGGAGACGCAGGTGTGTGTCCCCCTGCGGAGCTGTGGGTGACTGTGGCGTGGGGGTGTCTGGGTGTCACTGTGCCCTCCTCTGCTTGAATCGGATCTTTCTGCTCCGCAGAAGGTCCCGTGGGCAGCCATGCCCCAGCTGCGCTTGGCTTGTTAAAACCTTTCCCCGCGTAGGAGCCCCTCTCCAGGGCTCCCCGGTTGAGCCGGTCACCTTTCCAGATGGATTTTCTCTTGGTTTTCTTGTCGCTTCTCCTTTTTTTTCTCCATGCGACAGGGGACTTGTTGCAGCCAAGGTGCTGCTCTTCACCCCCCGCAGCGCTTTCCTGCAGAACCAACAGCTCTCAAACACCGCCTGCCTCCTCCGCCGTGGGCGCCGAGAAGGGGAAGACCTCCTGCAGCAGGTTGGTGACGAAGCAGGGCATCTCCTTGCAGCCCTCGTAGGTGCCCCTGGCCTGGCAGTAGAAGGCCACCTCCCAATTAATGCGGGTCATGAGGCGGTTGAGGGCCAAGTGACGTTCCTCCCCCTCCAGGACCTTGAGCAGGGCCTGGAGGAACATGGATCCGGAGATGTTGAGGAAGGCCACGTAGCCTGCGGAGCGCAAAGGAAGGAGAGCGACGTCGGCTGTGCCGTGGCCCTGTGATGACAGCGTTTCCGAGACAAAATCGGTGTGTTGGGGTCTGTCCCTTACCTGGGCTGCAGGCGAACATCACAACGGTCTGGGGAGGGATGGAGAGGTAGTCTGAAAAGCCGTCTGGCTCGCGCACTCCGCTGTCGCACTCCACAACCACCCCCTGGTCGAATTCATGCCCCCGGCAAGCCTGCGGGCAGAACGGCTGTCATGAGCTTCCCCCAGCTCTGCTCTCTCCCTTTTGCCCCTTTTCAGGGCAAACCTAAAGCTCCTGGTGGCTCCCTGGGGACCTGTGCCCCCTGCACCCCACCCCGGGCTGCAGAGTCCCCTCCCCGAGTCCCACAGCCCCACACGGTTCCTCTTCCATCTCCATCCCCTTCCCATCTCAGCCATCGAGCGTCCTCTTCCCTCCTCAGCCATCGCAGCTCGGCTTTGCCCGGTCTCTCTTCCCGACGAGCCGGGAGATGGGGCTCCCTCCTCTCTTCCCTCCGCGTTTCTCCCCAGCCCGGTTCCCCTCCCCTCCGCGGTAAATGCGGTGCTGCCCGTGCAAACCCACCAACGCGCCTGGAAACGCAAGAGTCCGCTGGGAAAGAGGATTCCCTTTGGAGTGCAGCCCGGTTCGTGCAGGGTCCTTTATTCTACGTGATGGTTTGGTCTTTCTCGCAGGGACGGAGTGCCGGACTGGTGCCAGGAAGGCGCCGGAGAGGGATTGGAGCTCTGAGGGCACCTTTCCCCACTACCTGGAGCCACCTCTGCTGGCACGTGTTGGTCGGGACCGGATCAAATGACAGAGGTGGACATCTCCCAGCGTTAGGGGAAGGGGGAGCATCCCCTCACCCGCCAAACGCCAGCGGGAAATCCTCCCTCGGGACGCAGAAATGCCCACAAACGGGCTGCAACCCCCACCCCTGGCACTGAACAGCCCGGAGAGGTGGACAGAGGCCACCGGGAGCTGTGGGGACCGATGGGGGAAGCAGCCCTTCCCTTCCAACCCTCAGCCCTGCGGTGTCTGCTCTACGAGGACAGCGTTCGCCCGCACCAGCACCAGCTTTGCCCGCTGACGGAGGTGCCCGGACCCGTCTGTCGGCTTGGCTGGGGGGATGTCCCCGGCTGTCACCGCTCCCTGAACAGTGGCCAAGCCCTTCGCCAGAAGGAAACGAACGCCGCGAGTGATTCATACTCGCTTTCGGGCAAAAATATTTCTGTCGATTTGCATAATGTTCGCAGAGCTCGCACTATCTGCTGGTTTCCATCCAGCTGCTGGATTATTTGTTTGTTCAGTGAGCTCATCCTCCCTGTCAGATTGGCGGTTAAAGCGTACTTCCAGGGCTCTTTTCCTGCAAGAGCATGTTCAACCTCTGCCCCCACCCCCTACCCCGTGAGCTTTATTTTTTGCCCTATTCCATCACCAGTTCACAGCTGGGCTTCTCCCAGCCCTTCCCCCAGGAATTTGCTCTGCCCCAACGTCATGGGGATGGGATTTGAAGGCAGCTTTTACTCGTTCATCTCTATCCCGGTGGTGTCTGGGAGGATATATTTGATCCCAGCAGCGTCACGTATCGTGGCAAAGAATTTGGTTTAAGCCCAGGTAGTCCAGAGGGTGCGAACCACTGTCTGGAGACACTGGGAAAAGACCTTCCTGAAGAAGGGACACAGGTGTGGGTGATGAGAGGCTGGGAGAGGAGTGTTTGCAGGGAGCAAAGAAACCTCAAAATCGGAGAAAGCATGAAAAAAAGAGGGATGGAGGGTTGTGGGGGGAAGCTGGGGAGCGACGAAAGGATGGAGCTCCGCGATTAAAACACCTTATACTGGCAGCGACCTTAAGCCTTGTGCTTGTGCCAGTCTTAATTCTGCGCAAACATAGCAAAAAGGGGATCAAATTGTCATCCAGCGGCTGTGTTACCTGGATAAAGAAGATTTTGGGGATTTTGGTGAGCGCCGGGCACTTCTTTGAGGATAAAATCTGGAAAATGCGGGTCAGTTTAACCGGCTTCGAGTCACAACCGAATATGACCCCCTCCTCTCCATGGCTGGAGATGATGCTCACAAAATACTCCCCGTGTTCGCAGCAGCACTCTGCAACGACATGGCCGGACCGATGCCATCGCGCCTGGGCTCAGGGTGTCACGGAGGTGGGGAAATGGGGGAGCACCGAGGTTTAGGGGCTGGTGGGGAGCCGCGTACCTTGCTGATAAAGGTCTTCTATCTCCTTGGCTGTCTTGTTGTGCATCAGCTTCACCTCGTAGTTGAGCCGGGAGAGCGTGGTGGAAAGCTTCTCCGCTTCCCTCTTGGCTCCGTTCCGGGTGCCCAACGTCACGTCACCATCGCTGCTGCGGAAATCGGTGTTGACGATGACAAGAGCCCGGCTTTGCCTCGGCTGGGACATGCTGGGATGTCTCCTGGGAGAAGGAGGTGGCCTCCAAACCCCCACCACTGCGCCGGTGGAGAGCTCGTGCTTTGTCTAGCGGTGTGTGCTCCTACGGGAAGTCCGGGAGAGCGTATCCTGGCTGACTCAGCACCGGGGCAGCAGCTGATCTTCGAGGGCAATGTCCTGTCACCTGCCGAGGGAGCGAGGTGGCACCTGGGCAGGACTCATGAGGGCGGGAGAGGACCACGGCTCGTCCCTGGCTCCGGCTGGGCTGGCACCCTCCCGCCTGGAGCTTATGGGGCATAAATGGGGAGGGGAGAAAAAAAGGAGGATTTTTTTTCCCCTCCAAGGGGATGGTGGAGGGATGGAGAGGGCTGGGGGATGAAAACGCCTCCATCACGGGAAGCACCAGGAGCAGCCCGGCCATCCCTCCGTGCCTCTTCCCGTGTCTGATTTTGTGTTTCCCCCAAAAGCCGGGCAGCTCCTGCTTCCCGCTGCTGAGCGCGGGGAACGCGGCCCCTTCCAGCTGCCCCCGAGACCTCCTCGCGGGGCTTTTTGACCAGTCCTGCTTATCGCCTCACCCTGCCTGCTCCCAGCGAGGCAGTAGCCACCCTCCAGCCGGCTTCACCCGCTGGGGGAACACATTTATGGCCCTCCTGCAATGATTCCTCCCCAAAAAGCAGTCCGCGCTGGGGCAGGACAAGCCCCCCATGACACGCTCTCGCAAGGAGGGGTCTCACCAACCCTCTCTCCTTCCCCTTTTCCCCGACTTGCTGACCCGGAGTGTCGAAATGCCGCCCTCTGACCTCAGCCCACGTGTCATCCTGCATCATGAGGCGTGAGTCACAAGATGCTGGTTCTTATTTTATTTATTTCTGGTCTCACGCGCTTCCCTTCCCGCTTGGAGAGGGCTTTGATCGCGTTCCCAAGCTTTTCCCGGCAGGCAGGACTTGTTTCTTTGCTTAAAGGAGCGGGTGTTTGCACCATCGCGTGTCTCTGGGCGATGGGGGTAGAGCAGCACCAAAATATGGGCGGCACGGCGGGGTCGAGGGGCTGCGGCGCTGCAGAGTGCGCCGGCCCCGCTGCTCCACTGTGGGGAAGGCATGACATCGGAAGCACCGTTCAGCAAGCAAGCACTGCTAATTTAAGCCTGGCTTAAATTAAAATCCGCCCTGCATGGATTGTGGAGTGATGGGGCGAGGGGGAGCAGTTTGACACTGAAAGAGGGGAGATATGGGGAAGAAATTCTTTGCTGTGCGGGTGGTGATCCCCTGGGGCAGGTTGCCCCGAGAAGCTGTGGCTACCCCATCCCTGGAGGTGTTCAAGGCCAGGTTGGACGGGGCTTGGAGCAACCTGGGCTGGTGGGAGGTGTCCCTGCCCAGGGCAGGGGGTGGCACTGGGTGGTCTTCAAGGTCTCTTCCAACCTAAACCGTTCTGTGGTTCTGTAATTTGCGCCTGGCCTTGGCATGCCAGAAGGACCTGCTTACCCCACCGCCCCGTTGAGCCAGGAGCCGGTTCCTTCTTAAAGGATCAACTCCATGAGCCTCTCCTGGGCACCTTCATGAAAACGTGGCGATGGGGCTCAGGTTGGCGTGATTTCCCCTTGTTTAATTGCAGCTGGTGCCCGTCCTGCAGCTGGCAGGGGTTCACCAAACCTGCCTGACACTGCCTGGACAAGCCTGTGCATGGTCCCGTCTCGGGGAGGTGCTGCCTCCTCTGCCTCCGCAACCCCTGGGGCTTCTGAGTCCCACCTGGAGCTTTAGGAGCCCAGTGAAGCTTTAGGAGCCCAACTGGGCACCAAAGATGCCATCTCAAGGGGGGAAAGCATCCCGTGAGGGCTCCCCTTGTCCCAGCAGGTCTGGGGGCTGCAGAGTTGATGCTCTTCTGCTGGTCCACACGGCTCTCGCACACTGGTGGGCATCAAGCGACCCTTGGGTGTCGCTGGTAGAAGCGGTTGGATCTTGCCTTCTGGTGCAGCCTGGTTGTTGGGGTTGCCTTGACTTCTCTCCTGGCCGCTGCTGCACGTGGCGGCTCTTGGAGCCCCTCTTCCTGACATGGGGAGAAGGGGGTTGCCCTCAAAAGAGCGGCCAGGGATCAGCGTTGGCTTTTACTCGCTAGCGGTGGAGGTCGTGGTGGAAGGAGGTGAGCTCTTGGTGGGTAGGGTCTGAGGGAAGCTGGCTGGAAAGTAGGAATGGCATCTTCCTGGGCTGTAATCCTTTGATGTTGCATTAGAGAAGGTTGTGATATGGGTGACTGACAGCTGAAAATAGGGCACGGGGAGGGTGAGGCAGCGGGCCGGGGAGAAAGGGAGGTCCTGGCAGGTGGGACAGCAGGCGTTAGTCCCTCTTCTTAGAGTTGGTGGCCTGCGTGCGCTTTTTCAGCTTCACCAGGTCAACGTAGAGATTGCGCTTGAGGACGGCGCTGGCGCAGATGAGGGCTCCTTGCAGGGCTCCCATGAAGCCCCCTAGGCACAAATCCTGCCCTGGAAGAGAGCAGGAGGTGGCGATGGCAGCAGCCGTGGTCAACCCCGTGAGCAGCCCATGCTCTCTGTCCCCAACTTACCATCAGTGCTCTCTTGGACATCACCATCCCCAACTACCTTTCCCACCTTCCAGCTGCCATCCCTTGGGTTTGAACCCAAAAAAACCCTCCCTGTTTGACCCCTTCCTCCTCCCCAGCAGGGAAAGGACCTCATCCTGCCCAGCTACAGGGCAAGGAAACCACGTCCAGGAGCTGGAGGAGGCACAGCCCTTTCCTCCTCCCGTTGGGACCATGCAACTCCATTTTGACGTGCTCCAGCGGCTCTTGCATCACCCCATGGCACGGCAGCAGCTTGTCCCCTTATTTCATGGAAGGTTTTTCTCCCCCCTAATCCTGCTTCCCCAGAGGTGTCCTCATCTGGGAACAAGGTGTCTGGGTGGTGGCTGTGGTACCTGTCAGGTAGAGGTTGGGGACGGCTGTCTGCGCCCTCACAGTGGCAATGGCTTCGGCTTGCAGGCGGGCGATGTTGTGGTCCATGCCGTAGATCTCCCCCTTGGGGCTGGCGATGTAGTGCTGGTTGGTGAGGGGCGTCCCACCGGAGATGTACTCGATCTGGGGGTGAAGGGGACAAGGTGGTCTGTGAGGGTTAGGCGTGATGGTATGGAGTGTCTCCAGAAAGCTATTTTCATGGGGTACGGGTGGGGACAGGTTTGCTTGCAGACCCTTGGGTGGTGGTTCTGGCCAAGTTTGGTCCCAGGATGGTCCTGGAGGACCGTCATCCCCCCACCTTGCGTGGTCAGGCGGCAGTGGCAACAGGTTGGTGCCACGCTGCCCAGTGGGACCTCATGTCCAGCAGACCCAGACCCAGCTCCTACGTTTGCAGGGTGGGTCTGGGTAGACAGGACCCAGAAGAGGAGCTGGAAGACCCCCGAACCCCAGGTTTCCTCACCCTGTCCTCGATGCGAGGGTAGAGCTTGAAGACAGCCTGCATGATGGCGTCCACAAAGGTCTTCTTCAGCTCCTCATAATCATCTCCCCGCTTATTGACCTGCTTGTCCTTCCACTCCTCAAACCACTCATATTTGGCGAAAGTCACGATGGCCATCGTGGATTTACCTGCAGCAGAATGAGGTTGGGGTGGTTGTCCTTCTGCCCACCCTCATGCCACCATTTCGCTGCCGCAAACCCAACCCTCCCCACACAAACACCTGGGATGGCTCCAGGTTTTTGTAGTCCCATATCCTTTGTCCAGTTATCTTGAAGACCACTTCCCATGAGCAACCTGCTCGGCAGCTTTGACCATGGCTATTTGAGGAGAAACTCCTTGTTTGCAGTCATCAAACAAACCAAACCCCAGCAAGAGTTTTCAAGCCACTCCCAAGCATGTGTGGTTGGGCTTCAGCCGTTACCTGGGTGCCTCATTTCCCAGGTGGGGTCCTTGGTCGATGGGCAGGTGACAAACAGGAGGGGGATGTTCTTGGCGGCTTCTTCTCTAGAAGAAGCCAAGTAGCGATTCGTTCTGCAGAGAGACGCGAGGGTTCAAGGTGGGTTTTGGTGAAAACCTTGACCTGAATACTGTGTTATAGCCGAATGCCCACAGGGCCCAAGAGCATTTTCTGAGTCACCCCCCAGGAATTCATCTCCTTATGCTTAATGAAGCACATCTAAGGTGAAGCCAAACCTACATTTCATCCAGGTCATTTCCTGAGTACATGAAGTAGTTGGTGGGCTCCAGCCCCAGCTCTTCCCTGGAGCCGTTAAGACCTACGAAGACGGTGAAACCCCCTTCACCATGTGTCGCCATGCGAAGCTGAGACTGGATCTCTGCGAGAGGGAGGGAAGAAGGAGGAAAATTAATATTTTCTGGGATCCTCAGCTACAGACAAGTGGTTTCTCCTAGGAGGAGTCCCACTCATTGCTCCCACGTTGACCTGTAAAGCTGATTTATTTTGGAACGTCCCATGTGTGCTCAAGGGGTGGGACAGCAACTCCTGCAAACTGTAAGGCAGGCAGCAGCGCTGCCGTTTCCTAGAGGGGAACCCCGTAGGGTACCCGTGGCTTCAGCTTTTGCTCTATTTAATGACCTTCTGGAATTTAAACGCGCTCCTGCTCTGCAAAGGTTGAATGGTTCTAGACCAGGATGATGTCGCCCAGAAAGCTTCCCACCAGATCATGCCCCCTTCCCCCCAACCATGCCCCTCTTTCCACCCAACCATGCCCCTCTTCCCACCCAACCATGTCTCCTTCCACCCAGCTGTGCCACCTTCCCCACCAACCATGCCCCTTCCCACCAGACCATGCCCGTCTTCCCACCCAATCATCCCCCTTCCCCCCAACCGTGTCCCCTTCTCCCCAACCGTGTCCCCTTCTCCCCAACCGTGTCCCCTTCCCACCCAACCGTGCCCCTTCCCACCAGACCATGCCCTCTTCCACCCAACCGTGCCCCTCTTCCCACCCAACCGTGTCCCCTTCTCCCCAACCGTGTCCCCTTCCCACCCAACCGTACTCCTTCCCACCCAACCATGTCCCCTTCTCCCCAGCCGTGTCCCCTTCCCACCCAACCATCCCCCTTCCCTCCAAAAGTTTCCCCTTCCCACCCAACCGTGTCCCCTTCCCACCTAACCGTGCTCCTTCCAAAGCAGCAAGAAGGTTTTGTGGCAGCGCTAAACCCAACTTAAAGTAGACATTTCACCAACGAGTGACACTCGTTTGGTGAAGTGATCGTTTCACCGTGAGTTTTGGGGCACTACACTGTGGTTTTTAGGGAGACCGAGCAGCAAGCCGGAGCTTTGTCAACCGCATGGCCCGTTTTGGCAAATTAATTTAGGCTTGATTAAAAACCCTGCGAAGGAATCTATGGCCAGGGATGGTGTTTTGGATGCTGCAACGTGAATGACAGAGTTTTGGCGATGTCTAAGAAATAATTATAAAGAAACTGCTTTCTGGTGTGGCTTGGAGGGGGATTAATGCCATAACCCCGATGAAACCCAACACTGCTGTGTTTTACCAGGCAACGCCCGCGCCTCCGCCGGCAGCAGCCGTTCGTAGGTGTTGAAGATCCCAGCGTCCGAAATGATGATGGGAGCGAAGATGTTCACCAAATCTTGGCCTTTCTTGACGCTCACGCCTGGAAGGGAAAGACCAGGGAGGGGAAGGAACAGCTCTGGTTAAAAGCGACGCCGTGGTGGGGAGAAGCCGCGTGTGCCCCGTCCCGTGCCGGCGCTCACCGCAGGCTTTGCCTTGGGAGTCCAGCAGGATGCTCTGCACCGGCGCCTTTCCCAACACGTCACCTCCGGATTTCCGGATAACGGGAACAGTGTGGAAAACGATTTCCCCGGCTCCCCCTTTTGGGTACCACGCGCCGTGAAGGAAGTGGTTCACCAGGATGCTGTGCATGGAGAAGCTGGCCTTGGAGGGGACCACGCCTGGAAAACAAAACGGGCAGCGTAAGGTCAATTTTGTGTCGAAATGTGGTTTTGTGGCTTATTCTGAGGTTTTTAGGGTGAGGAACGCCCTGTCTGGATGCAACGCTGGAAGGAAGGCAGGCAGTGGATGAGAAATGATGGGTCATTGGTCCCCGGCGGAGCATGGAGGGTGTTGGATGTGGGTGGCCCTGTGGCTCTTTCGCAACTGAACCGGATGAGTTGTGGTGGGGTGGGGGAACCGTGAGCAAATCTCCGGGGCGAAGGGAATGGGGCGGTGGGTGCCAGCGCGAGGGTACGGGTGGGGAGATGTTCCCTTGTGGAAGAGGAGCGATGCTGTGGCGCCGCGCAGCCCGAGTACACGGAGTGAAAGAGTTGGAAACGAAAAACGGGGACACCCTCCCGCTGTCTTTGGGATGAGGACACTCTCGGAGGTGGTTTTATTTGCTTCTGAAGGGTTTAACTTCACCTCCGGGTCGCCTTGGCCACCTACCGTAGGTGGGGAAGATGTAGCTGAAGACAGCTCTCAGCTCCTGGTTGGCGGTGAGACCTTCCACCACCTCCTTCAGGCTGCACGACGCCAACCGGCAGAAGGGGCTGAGCCGCGGCAGCAGCCCCGAGCGGCACAGCAGAGTGGCCACCGCCCGGGGGATCATCTTCAAGACGCCCACCAGCACCGTCCCCCTGCCCACGCTCTGCGGGGGGAGACCGTTCCTGAGCATCCACTGCGGACAACCCAACGTGCCCCAAAAAATACTCAAAAGAAGCTATTTTTCCCCCCATAAATTCACCGCTTGGCTGACGGCTTCTAAGCGCCGCGTCCCGGGGAGCTGCGGGTAAGGGGAGAGTTCTCCCCCACCCCCCCCCCCATTTTTTTGCTGAGCATCACCCCATGATGCCCGGAGGTGGGTGTCTGGGCTTGGGGGCGGGGGGTGCCCCATCACATCCCCCATGAAAAAAACCTCCAGTTTTTTTGGGGGCAGAAAATGGAGATTTTTGGGGACACGTTTCTCACCGCGTTCGGGGCGGGTTGTTGCCACGCCGGTGGGGAATATTCTTTTTTACCTTCACCAACCGCTCAAACTCATTGATAGCAGTTTCCTCCCCGGGAAACTGCTCTTTCAATCTCCGGAAATATTCCTCTTTGCCAGAATGGATGCGATACGTCCTGTGGCGGTCGGCTTCGCCCAAAATCACGGCGTCATAGACGGCTGGCAGCCGAGCCCACTCCAGCTGCCCCTCCGTCAACTGGTCCACCATGAAGCGCGTGATGGAGCCCTCCTGCATCTGCCCCACATAGTGAATACCTGCAAGGTGGGGTTTTAATTTATTTTGGATTTATTTGGGGGGATTTTCCCCTTTATTTACATCCCACTGGGATGCACGGCACGCCCCCGCAAGCGGCTCTGTATTGAGGGAAAAGGGAAAAACTTCCCTTTCCAGGTTGAAGGGAAAACCGTGCGCTCGCCGCCGAGTTTTTAAGCAGTTTTTTAAGGAATTTTGTCACCCGTTGGTTTGGATTTTTTTTTAATTTTTGCCTTTGGCTACGCCTGTAAATAATTAATCCCCGGGCAGCTCAAGGGACGGAGGGAGCCGGACTTTGTCTCGCTGGAAGGAGATGTGCCCCGAGATGACATTCCCCCCCCACCAACACCCTGGCGGGGAATTCTATAGGGGGAATTTGATGGGGTCAGAGCTGGATTTGGGGGAATTTTATGGGTTTTTTGGTGTTTTGACAAGGCAGCACCCCATCCCTCAGCAGGAGGATTTTTCAGGAGGGAGGGAGGGCTGTGCCATACCGCGGCGCTCATGCAGAAAACACACTTGTGTAACGCAGGGCGGGTGCTGGGGACGCCCATCTCTGGGTGCCCACGGATGTCATCCCCCTCCCCCCCCAAAAAATGAGCCCGGGGGTGAACGTGGGACCCCCAAATGCCGTCGGGGACCGTACCGGTGTCGAACTCGAAGCCCTTCTCGGTGAAAGTGTGGCAGCAGCCCCCCAGCTTGCCGTGCTGCTCCAGCACCAGCACCCGCTTGCCCGCCTTGGCCAGCAGCGCCGCAGCCCCCAGGCCCCCGATGCCGCTGCCCACCACGATGGCGTCCAACCCCTCGGGGACTTTATCTGCCGAGAAAACTGCGGGGAAGGGGCGGGGGGTGACATCGTCAGGGGAGGGATGTGGCACACAACCACACCACACCACCCCCCCAGCCTCAACTGGGCACACGGTACACAGTGGGTGACCCCAAAATGGTGTGGGGGGTGTGATGTCACCCCAGTAGGGTGATGGTACCTGGCGGGGTGGTGGCACATCGCTGGGTGGTGGCACACCAAGGGGACATGCCACTTTGGGGGGGGTTGTGCTGCTCCAGGGGGAGATGCCACCCCAAAGGGGTGACACCACCCTGGGGGGTGATGCCATGCCAGGGGATGATGCCACCCCGGTGGGCGATGCCACCTTGGGGGGGTCATGCTGGCCCAGGGGGTGATGCCACCTCACCAGGCAATGTCACACGGGGGGGAGATGCCACCCTGGGGGGGCGTCACACAGCCCCATGGGATGATGCCATGCTGGGGGGGAAGATGCCACCCTACAGGGGTGACACCACCCAGGGGGGTGATGCCACCTCACTGGGCAATGCCATCCTGGGGGGGACAATGCTGGCCCAGGGGGTGATGCCACCACGGTGGGCGATGCCACCCTACAGGGGTGACACCACCCTGGGGGGGTGATGCTATGCCCAAGGGTGATGCCACCTAGCTGGGCAATGTCGCACTGGGGGGAGATGCCACCCTGGGGGGGGGTCACACAGCCCCATGGGGTGATGCCATGCTGTGGGGGGAGATGCCACCCCAGGGGGGTGATGCCACCTTGCTGAGCGATGTCACACTGGTGGGAAATGCCACTCTGGGGGGGTCATACAGTGCCAGGGGGATGCCACACAGAGGGGAGATGCCACTTTGGGGAGGGGGTCATTCCGCTCCAGGGGGTGACACCACCATGGGGAGGTTGATGCCACCCCGGGGGAAATGCTTCATTGGGGAGGGGGATGGGGATGTCACCTCAACGGGTGATGCCACCTCACCAGGCGATGCCACAGCAGGGGGAGATGGCACTGTGACGGAG